TAATACGCGCAGCCCTCAGCATTTTCCACCCTAACGCCTGCGATGCAACACCGCATTCTTCGTGCGATTCGTCTTCTTAGGGGGTTCCCGTTCAATGTGTCCCTCCTTTTGTGCCCTCACCATTCACGAGCGAACAATGCAACGGTAAAGAGCACCGAATGCGGGATGTCTCTGACTGTGCCCTATCGGCACGAACGATCCTGCATCGAACAGAATGGACATTCTCAGCTTTCCCCTGCTCAGAAATTTGATAATCGATCAATCGTCGATTCTTCGATTCCCAGCTACATTTAACTACGTCTGTGGGAGAATTAGCCGTTAATTGCAGACGACTCGGTCTTCGATACGAATAATCCGAACTAATTTAATCACACTTTTCCAAAATTCTCCTCTGGATTGCGTTGGTGAAAGAAAAATTCAAAAATCTTCGTCTTCAATACGAATGGTCTGTAACAAAGGGTTAACACATCGAAGAAAGTTCCACAAACGATCGTTGCCCTGTCCTCTTGACATTTTTATCATCTATCTAGATCATATATTTTTATAAGCTCGAAATAGGTCGTACGGCGAGAAAAAAGGGTGGCGAAACAGAAAATATTTATTTATACAGACTTCGAGCGCCAAGAAAGGTGTCGTTCATTAGTTTGCATCGCTAACGCTAATTACATCGCATCGTTCGTTTTCGAGGGCGAAAGAGTTCATCGTGTCGATGGGGACGACGATGTCGTTTCGGAAGAGAAAATGGGAGGCGCGTCGTCTGTGTTTCGCTTTCGTTTACCGCCACGACGACGGGAGGCAAACTCGAAAGGGCTAAAGCCCCCAACCGCTCGGACCCTGACAAACTTATCCAGAGGTCAATCAACGCATCCGGCTCTAATTAATTGCTTTTGGTTGCATTTAAAGAACCTGTATCCTGCCGACCCGACGCCGCACGATCACTACCAATAATTTTATACCACAGACGGAGAGAGAGAGGGGGTTATTATTGTCGCAGGAAATGGTCTAGTCGATCGACGATCTTCGTCACGAAAACGCAGAAATATTAATGAAATGAATTGCTGTGATACCTGTTATCTTTACGTTTTCTTCGATTAATCACAGAATAAGCCGACACGTCGGCTGATAATGTGCACGGTTTCGAGCCGATATCGGCAGATTTTTAACCGTTCAATAATCTCGATCGTATCAAGGACTGATATCGATTGTATCATGGACTGATCTCTGTGAAAACAAAAACGTGGCTGCCGACGAATCGTGACCGTTGATATTCCGTTTCAACGAGTCATAGGCTAGGTCTCGTTAACTTGACCGTTACGACAACGGTAATTGGAGCACTAAGTAATTATACCAGCGAGGGGGTACTGCGCACACTTTCGAAGAGTTGACGCGCAAAACTAGCGCGGCGCTCGTCCTTTGTCCGGTTGGTCGAGAGACCGTGACAAAAATGAATCCACCGTTTCGAAAACTTTGCTCAAGATCTGTTTCAGCGTGCTAGTTCTGTTTCACGTGCGAATCTTTTCGTCGTTGGGCAACTCTTTCTCCTTCACTCTCATCTTCCTTGGACTCGGGACGATCTTTCTTAATATTCCTGACAGCGCGTTAAACGGAACTCGCGTCGCCTGGACGAGCATCGAAAGAAAAGAATCGAAACATTTTCTAACCTAACTATACTGACTTACAGTCATAACAAACCTTCCAAAATAAAATTGCAAAATACAATCGTATACTGTAGAATCGGATTTTTACCTATATTAACTAAATTCAATTAAATTGAAATAGAATTCAGTAAGTTGCGTTTCACGACTGACGCGGTGATGCACGTTCCAAAAACATCGAGTCGAAACGCAGCATGAAAGGACATTTCCAGGTATATAACAGTACACCCTGAGCATCGTCTAATAGTCACCAGCTATAATTGTTCAATAACCGAGGAAGAAGAATCTCCTGGACAGATCGTGCAACTGTATCGCCCGTGGCAGTTGTTTGACAAACAAACGGTTTCGAGTTCAAGACCTCAATCCGTTCGACCATATGGCCCTATCCATTTCTCACCACGACTTGAATCGTTCGAATGATTTTATCGTTCAGACGAGAGGATTCGGTAGGTATTACGAAAGCTACTTAGATTACGGTACTTCTCCCTATTATACTGTTGGAGTAACCATAAAAAATATACCTGAACACACTTATTACAACCAATATTTCAAAAAATATCTACACAGGTCAAGCTTATAACCTTCTAATTTTTCAAGTCGGTTAAAAACAGCGAAATATGTCGGTAATCGAAACGGGAGATCTTCCTGATCGGTCATGCAGCGACATGTTGCGAAACTTGTAGATTCACCCGATTGGTCAGAAACGTGTAGGCCCTCTGCAGTCGGAATTCCCTAATTCCCCATATATTTTGTCCCTTCAGAAAGTCCAATCGAGTGGAAATCGTAAATAAAGTTTACGAGCTGCGTTACCTCGACTAAATTTTATTGGTTCGTCGACTTCCACAAACCGTTGAAATCGAAACACTTCCGCATACAGTCGACTCTACGTACGTTCCACGCGTTGTTCGTCAAACGAATGCATTGCTGTCCAAGAAGGGTAAAAGCGAGGGTACACGGTCACCGTAAATCGCTGGTAGTCGACATTACATTACATATACTAAATACATAAATTACAAGTCAAATGGGACGACGATTGGGGTATTTCGACGAGAGACCGATCCAAGCCGAATTCGAGGCGAGCGAATATCCTCGAGTCGACTTTACGAGCGGTCTTTTCTGTAGACCTGAGGCCGGTCGGGTATCGCTTAGGTATGCGGCTGCAGCTGTTCGAAAATTCCAGCCGGGACGGACTGCCGTTCTCTCGCCTATGGTATTTTTGAGTATCGGGTCGCGTCTTTCAGACTATACAACCACGCCGATCCTACTGTATACCACGCTGCTTGTTGTGTTCACATCCTTTCGAATCGAACAACCGAAAATATTAGGGATACCCATAAGTAATCAATTATTTTGCATTCATAGACAAAATTTTTTTTTAAAGAACATTTTTATTTTTTAATCGATTACATAATCACCGTCATTATCGATAACTTGTTGCCATCGTTTCTGCAAAAGTTCAATCCCCCTTTTGTAAAAGTCTGGCGGACGTGACTCAAAATAAAATTTTAAAAAAAATCTGAACCGACGGCGACATTTGTTCACTTTGTCGTTTTTTAAAAAAAATTCATATTGTTGGGAATAAATTACTAACAAACTGATTGAAGAATAACACTAAAAAAATTTCTGCTTACACTTGTGCGGTTGTCACAGAACTAATGAGAGGTCATTTGGGAAAATAATTCATTACTTATGGGTACCCCTAATACATTGGAAAAACTTGCGACATCACGCGCGGTCCAATCCAATGTTCCGCCATCCCAGCAGCCCACGCGGTTTCCAGAAACGAATTCGTCGTACCTACCTACCGCGGGAGATTCGATCGTGACGAAACTTACATTTCGTATGCTCGAGCACCGCGGGCTAACAATAAAACCCGAGGCGAGGTCCGCTCGACGATCCAACAACCGGAAGTAGGCGTAATAACGAACTCCCATTGGCTATACGTGCCGTGAATACAATAACATTGTACGCTAGACACAAAAGGCGTCGCTCTCTCTCTCTCCCCATAACGGTCACTCTTGGATACGCACAAATTCCGCGCGTCGGTTTTCTCTCGAAACGCTTACGGAAAGTCTGTGAAATCCATAGCCCCGTGATGATCCATAGATGCAGGCACCCAGAGAGTTTAACACAATTTTACTCGAATAATAAATATAGGGAAACGGTGATATCTAAGATCGTTATCCAAACCTTGTTTAATCGATTAGAAATAGCGGAATCCTTTTTTTAAATCTTTTATTCATAATTCGGAATTCTTTATCCAGATAATGAATTTGCCCATCTCTGCAGGCTCCCCTATCACAAATTCCGTTTAATCTTGATGGTCGAGCCAATTTTCCGCCGTTCGGAAATTCACGAAGGGACAGTGCGCGCATTAAGTCAGGGATAGAGTTATCGTAAAATTGTAGACGCCATCGACCCTTCGAAACCTTACAGTAGAATTCGAGAGAGATCCGGACGGCACGTTGGTCGAGAGATCACGTGGGCGGTAGGTATTCGCGGCCCACGCGACCGCTTATCGAAACGAAAATTACGTTCGAACGTAATGACGAATTACAAGTTATATCCCGGTATTAATGGTTACGTGCATTCGAAGAACGTCGCGTAGTACGAGAATAGCGTTGAGGTATGTATACATATCTGCACGAGTTACATGGAAATGGCTGGTTCCGAGATTTCCCGAATGCGGCTAAACGAACCTTTCAGTCGTGTAACAGAAACACACGGATGGGAGAAAATGTCTGTGTTCGATCGTGAACACGATGCGCCCACGAAAAGGTCAGTAGCACGTCTAAACGATTGTTCTATACGAGGCCTGAAACCGATACGTTCGCAGAGACTTCAACGAAACTTTCGACGAGTCCCAATTAATCGCGATTTCGTTTCAAACTTTAAAGAAAATGTTAGTTTAAAGCTGTCCATCGACGTAGATTGAGCTTGATCACTGAAAAAAGGTTCCCACCCAGAAACTACGTTTCAAACGCGTGTACCCGTTTGACGCAAACAGGTACGTATACGTATACGTATACATATAAACATGCACGGTAATCCAGCTCTTAACAGTCTCTCGGAAGCCACGAGCAAAGAAAAGGAAGGTAACGGAGCGTAAATTTCACGATGGTGATCGCAGAGCGAGTACGCACTAGTAGAACGCGAATTCTCTATCATGCTACAAGTATTCGCACTGAATGAACACCAGCGATCATCTCTTATCGGTATTCGTCAACGTTCAGCAAACATTCTTGTCGAGTACGGAACAAATCCGTGGACAACGATAAGATATTCGAAATCACGAGGGACCGAAACGATCCAAACCGGTGGAATAATGAACGAGAGGTGACTTACATTTTCAGGCTGCGACGAACGCCTCTGCCGTGGTACACAGAATAGCGGCACGCCGCTTTCCCGTTTCCTCTCCAATATAGCGGTTTCCGGTACCCTCTGTCAGCACAAAATAAACCAAATCGGCAACTATCACCACCACTCATCCGTACCGCCCGTACACACCACACACCTTCGATTCCGATATCTCTCCGGCTGTTGGCCCTTCCTGTTGTCCCGATTTCTCTTCGCACAACACACCACCACCACCACCACCTCCGTCACTGGTGGATTCGCGCGAGCCGTTCGATCCACGTTTCGATTTGCGATCCACCGAAATTCTATGCACTCGTGTCTCGTTGTCGGTCGCGCGACGACGGATCGCGGGCAACTTCATGGGGCATGATTAACCGCTCCGGAATTCGAGTCGTTCTCCAAGTGCTCGAACCCCTCCGGTATGAGTAACTCTCCCGTGGTGGCGTCGTCGATCGCCCAACGGTACGCGTCTCGTCTCGATTACTGTCGTCGTGATCCTTTTTTTTCAGTCTTAGTCGATCTCCTTTCCGCCAGAGGCGTACAACCGTCGACGAAGCGTTGTATTACACTCCTGTTCGTGCTCCTACCTCATCCGTTGACTTTCCTATTGTCCTCGGCAAGCAAAGACGTATCACCGCCGCGTGCCCTCTCATCCCAACAGCGTTCCAACAACGCAATGCATTTTCATGGAGGGGAACCGACGACGTGTGTCCCCCGTGTCCCTTGCCTCTTCAGAGGGTTCGTCAACCCGGGGGGCGGGGGGGAGGTGGGACTTACCGTGTTCGCTGATCGGTTTTATATTCGCTTTTTCTCCTCTGTGACGTGTTCAACCAGCGATTCTAGATTGCTTCTGATCCGAGAAACAACCACAGGCGGAGGTATTCGCGAGTAAATCACTGTGACGCAGCAGCTGAATGGAGAAATCGTGCGAAAAAGTCGACGTGATACACAGCCGGGAACGGGACACGGTGAAACGACGCTAACAGGTTGCACGCCGCGACTCTACTGAGTTTGCTTCTAGTAGGCCGGTCATCGAGACTCCCCTCCATTCCAACACGCGCGCGTGCCTTCGATGCCTATAGCGTGGCGTAGCGTTGGATACTCATGAGGATCCTTGCAAGCAGTTCGAATGAATAATACAGGTGCATTATACATTTGCTTTTCTAACGCGAGAATACGAACAAAGAGAACGATCTACTGTGTTATATAGGTAGAAATGAATTTCCTACTATCCGAGGTAAATTATCGCGTCGTCCTTTGAAAGATCGATATCGATAATCGATCGATGTAGACTGCTCAGATCGACATTCATTCGTGCTCGTATTTGACTCGATTTAACCCCTCGCGATGAACGCTCTGATCTGATTCTCTTTGTCTGTGATTCGATCAATTATACGGTATACGGGTCATGTGCGTCTGATCTTTAACGAAAATTAAGGTCGAATCGAAACTTACGTGTACGTATTGTCTGATGAGAAAGAAACGAACTCGAGGCATCTGTGACAAGGGAATCGGGGACTCCGAGTGTGCTGATTTTCACGCAGGTAAAGAGTTAAAGGTATTGCGAATAAATTACATAAGTAAATAAGCATCTTACTCGAAGCCACAATTTTTACGATGGGTTACGAAACTTATTGGTTTTAGACCACTGTACAGGCACGCACGCGGTAGTAGTCTCACGAGTATTACGAATATAGAAATTGTCGGCACACCCTGTACAGGAAAGCACGAACGTCCGCGCGCGCGAACGATTTTAATTTCACTAAAACACAATGCGACTAATAAACTGGTCTAGACACATGGTCTGGGTTACAGAAGTTCTATTTACCATACGTAGGCGATCAGTGTGGGAGTGCCGACGGACATGGCAGAATAGTGAATTGCCTGATGGAGGGACAGGCATGTGTGGGTCGCGGTTTCCTTTATTCGACTAAAACTTTAGAATTCGGAAATTTTGTACGATGAAGTGTATCCTTGTATCAGAAGGTCATTTGCAATAGTTCTAGGGATTCTTCCTCTTAATTTTTTTCGATGAAAATTATCGTAACATTAATAAAAAAATTATGAGAAGTAAGACACGATAGGATACCGTTAAATATGAACACTGTCGAAAAGAGAGTTTGAACTTTTTCGTGGAAACGAATAGATTTAAGGGCGACGACATTCGATCCATTCTTTGATCCTATCAAGTGTCATTGCTAGGGCTTCATTGAAGACTGTTCTGGTCAGAGTAACTTTCTACATTCTAAACAGATACAGAAAATAGGAGAGAAATGAAAACGAACTTTATATAAATGATAAATTCTAACGGTCATTTTGTTTATTCGCATCGTGTAAAACATATTGTACGTTTCAGTATGGAATATTGTCCACATCATCCACGTCTTCGATTATTGGTTCTTCATAGTCCTCTGGCCCTAACACCTCATCCTCCATTTCTAATTCCTTGTTTGGATCTGCAATGTTGACAATGGGTATAGGTTTTAATTTTCTGACGGCCTTTTCGATTTTTTGAACCAAAGCGACTTCCCACTGCTTGCAAATAAAATTTGTCACCCGGCAATCACCCGTTGTACCGATCCTGCCAGTTCTACCACACCTGAAGAAAATATAGTACTTTTTATTTTAGCGCGTCATCCACACCGATAATTGTTTCGATCATCTACCTGTGAATATAATCAGCCGTGTCCACTGGAAAATCGTAATTCAGAATGTGATTAACTGTCACTGTATCTAAACCTCTGGAACCAGCATTCGTCGTTGACAACACCATCACGTGACCGTTCAAAAATTGCCCGTATTTCCCCATTCGAATGCTTAACGGCATTTTACCATTTAAATTCGTAACGTTTATACCACACTCGTTCAAAAACAACGTAAGCCAATAGGATGTACCACTGGTATTGCTAAATATAATTACAGGTTCCCTATTTGCTACTTTGGGTTTTACATATTTTAAAAGTTCGACTGGTTTCTCACTTGGACCCATTCTGATAAATTTCTGTGGAACCAGGATTTTGTGCAGCTTTTCTGTTTGTACAATCGCCACAGAGTCAACCTACATAGTATCGTGTATTAAAATATCATCTTAGGAAAATCATTATTTAGATTATGGTAAACTTACGTTTACGATATTACTTAAAATATTTTTTAAACGAGAAGGTACTGTGGCCGAAGCTAAAATAAGTTGAACATATTTTGGAAATCCATTCTCATCGAATTCTTGACAATAACCAATCTGCTTAAACATAAAGAAGACGTTACAATGTCTTTTCAGAATACACTACACACTAAAGCATAATTACGTACATGCAATTTATTCAGAAAAACTTTCAACTTTTCTTCGAATGTATGATGAAACAAAGCATCTGCTTCGTCCAAAACTAAACATCGTATAAAATTCCGATTATAGATACCATATGTGAACAATTTACTAATAGCTCCAAAGCTACCAACAAGGATATCCACATTATCAACTGGAGGATGTAAAATTGTTCTTTTTAGCTTTCCACCCGTGATCATTTTTGTCTTAATACCAAGGCATTTAGACAATTTAATTAGTTCTAACTGAAAAATACAACCCTTCTGATTCAAATGTCATTATGAGAGAAATAAATATTGTACATGTAATTATTGATACAAACTGCAATTTGGACTGCCAATTCTCTAGTAGGAGTCACAATTAAACCTAAGGGACAATTCCTATTTCTTTGCCCAATTTTTTTCCATTCCATAATTTGATTAATCAAAGGCAAAAGATATGCTAATGTTTTTCCGCAACCTGTCTCTGCTGTCAATAATGTATTATGACCTTCAAGGATTTTTGGTATACCCATCTGTTGAATCTCCACAGGATCTTTAATGTTCAAGTTTTCCAACTGAGTGATTATAGAAGGATCCAAACAAAAATCGTTAAAGGTACCGAATTGATATTGTTTTTCTGTTTGGTTTTGAACAGCCTAAAAGAGAAATTATAATCACAAGAGAAATTCGCTAGCAACGGATGATTATCGTATAGGATAATACATTATCATAAGGATAGACGAAGAAGTGATCGCCTCTAGAATTACGGTGAGACCATCCTTTGGTAAGTAGCGGTATAACCTCTTTCTTTCCATACATTTGACCCTTATAAAAATTGTACTCTTTCCTTCTGGTCAATATAATCGGAATTTTTTTATTCTGAGCCTCTGTTGCATCAACGTGTAATTGTTCTTTCCTTCGAGCACTAGTAGCTGCTCTAGCCTATATTAAAATTTACGCAAAGTTAACCTATGAAGAATCCGGCAAAGTAGATAGATAGTAAACGTATTTACATAATGCCTTGAAACGTTTACAAACGAGGAGTCTACACTCTTACAACATAAATTACAAAATCTGAGTAACATTTTATATGGCTTTCAGTAAATAAAGTAGTTTCTATTTCATATGACACAAAACACTAGATACGACCGACACCGCCATTTTAATAGCACAGGTCAAAGGATTTTAATACGACAAAGTTTCACATGTCCCTATATACATATGTCGGCGATGAAAATGTGTTTAAATAAATTATTTTCCACCCCACGATGCCAGGTCGAGATGTTCAGTCACAATGACAGGCCCCAACTCTCTCTTATGCTGTGATATTCAATCTTTCAATAGTACGTAAAGTATTTTGAAAAACAGAGAGGAATCGTGTAAATTGCGACTTAAAACTTTTTCAAAAAGTCCTATATTATCTGAGGAATTTCCCTAAATCGATATTTGGTCAACATTGCAGCTGGTTATTTTTTTATTTGCAAAGTTGGCAGGATAATCATTTTGGCCGTTAGTGTACTTACTCTTTTATTCAAATGCGTTTATCAAAGTAAGATTTTCGATGTATCTAAACAATATTGAAGAATACACGCGAACTTAATACACAAGTAAAACAGTAATTTATATGGGCCTTATAAAGATGATCAATAAACAAGGATGACAACTTGGGGATCAGTAGCCATTTGAAAGGTTCGAGATGGCGTGACAAACGCAATTGTCAATCACATTTGTTTAGACGTTTCAACCTAACGTTGTGTTTCTTCGCACGAAACATTCTCATTCTGATGATTTACATGCGATCGGTGTGTACGTTTTAAGACGTTATCGCGACCAACACTATTTCTAATACTCTAATACGTAGCAACGTATCCAAAATGAAAGTTATAATAAAAAGTGAGTACGATACTGTAACTGACAATGTTTACTTGTATTTTACGTTTCTCTGTCCTAACTTAAAAAAGTGGAAAAGATTTTACTAATGATACATGTATGGCCACTGCTCTCACGCTGTTATTTTTTGTTTAAACGCGTACATTTACGACATAAGTCGCAAATAATTAACGTACATATTTTTCTAGGTTGGACCGGTGTTGCCACCTGGCGTTGGATAGCGAACGACGACAACTGCGGTATATGTAGAATGCCTTTTGATGCCAGCTGTCCAGACTGTAAAATTCCCGGAGATGACTGTCCTTTGGGTACGTAACTTACCATTGACTTTGATCGATTCTTCAATTTTTATCACAGCTGTTAAACTGGTAAATAATGTGGAAAGTTTACCTAATATTAAACGTTACTCAGATTTACTGGAGAGCTCAAATAAAAATCAGTAAAATTATTGTTATGATATAGACTCACAACCTGTATCACATTTTACTTTGGTCAAAACTATTTTAAGCCCAATTAAAGAGAAAAGATTCATTGGAATGGTGGAGACTTTGTGGCTCTTAATCCCGTATAAAAATTTGCATCCGACATTTGTCGATTAAATTGTCCGGGAAAACACGTCTGTTCTGCCGTCATTTTAAATTGTGCAGTAACTAGTACCACAGAATAAATCGCGCGAGATCGTTCGAAAAATGCCGCCGCGATGTCTGCGCAGGTGCGGATGTGAATATCGATCGGTGGTGTGTTAAACGAAACGGATCCCTAGCACACTACGCGAATGCACGGGAAGCACACACCACCGTGTTCGTGGGGGCACGCGTACTCGCGCGTGCCAATGTAAATGTAACGAACGCCGGTTGACAGTCGTTAAACGAGGCGCAAGCTGCGCGTGTGGTTCCACCGAACGGCTGACTCGAACAAACGGACATTTCAATCGTGAACCCACGATACCGAATATGTTGTTCCAGTTTGGGGCCAGTGTTCGCATTGCTTCCATATACACTGCATCATGAAGTGGCTGCACTCTCAACAAACCAGTCATCTATGTCCGATGTGTCGTCAGGAATGGAAGTTCAAGGAGTAACTGGTTTCCCGATGGTCCCGCAGGTGTCAGCACGCAACGAATAATCAGGTAACGCTCGTACATTGCATTACGTACCCGCGAGATAATTCGATCGGATCGAACTTTGATACTTACGATGACGAAGGATCGTGCGTTGCGTTGTTTGCATCGATGACGCCGCTGCAACGCGACTTTTCCATCCACGCGTTGATTTCCAGAGCTTCGATTCCGTGGACACACACACACACACACACACACATTGACTCGTTTTCTACGTTCGTTTCGAAATGAAAAGAAACAGCTAAAAAGAGTGTCGAAAGTATAATCGGTGTTTGTGTGCATTCCACGGTTTAAATTTCCTCTCAACAGTTGAGCGTTCTCCCCCTGTAATTCACGGGGATCACTTCTATGACTTCTATTTTAGTTCCCGAGGCTCACGATTAAATGACCTGCTGCTCTTGTATCGCGAGCAATTTCACCGGTGAAATTTCTCAGCGGGTAACAGTGAACGTCATCCGCAGCATTCTCATTCGAACAAACCGCGTATTTATGAACGTGTGCATTTGACGCTTTTGAGTTTACATTTCAAGATATAGTGGAATGATACGAGTGCAATGATAAGAGAAGAAAACGACGTGAACTCTGATCCAGTCGATTCGTACCGGATTACAAACGTAACGGAATGCGGTATAACGCTTTAACGTGATTCACGTATCGCGTACGTTTACGTAACAGATTTTCTCGGCGGTTTTGCTCATCGCAGGAAAGCGTGTTACGCCGTGACACCGAGCTTGTCGAGCACGCGTTATTCGACGCCGTTTTCAATGAATGCTGTTCGTACGGTTAGAGAATTGTCGACTCAACCACGCTTATCCGATCTAACAAACCTATCTCTACATATTTGTTCGCGTGAGTGATGACTCTATCTTCTTTCCGTCGTTAGAATTTCTCGGTACGATAATCATACGTGTAGCAGAGAAATTATGAATCCGTTCTCGTCGATGGACCACAATACGAAGATGCTAATCTGTGCTTCGGACGGGCGAATTAGGGTGAAAGTAGAACAAGCAGTTCTTGTCCGCGTCGGGAAATAGAGTATGAACGAAATTCAAAGGTGCTTGAATAATAACGATGGACTGTAATAATTCATCGTCTAATAGGGACGAACGAGCCCTATGACTAACATAACCCTATTCGATTATTTTGATTATGGAAAAAAGTGATTCCGGTAAGTAACGTTCAGGGACACGACAGCTAAACGGACAAAATGTCGTTGATTGGCTCGTTTTTAGCGAGTACGTTACGTGTTAATGATAATAATACGGGTCAAGAAGGGTTGCGAGTGCTGGGAAGCGGGTACTAGAGGAACGGAGAACGGAGGAACAGACCTTAGCGATGGAGTTCACGCTGAACGAGGCAAGGAGACTTAATGGGCCCCTTCCCTTTCTTTCTATCTTCTTTCCACCACCGAGTTCCCTCTCCACTTTCCTTCTTCCGCGCTTAGTGGCTCCCCTCTCCCATCCTCCGTCCCTAGGTTACACTCTCACGCGATATCACGACGATCCCGAGGCTCGATACAGTATATCTCTCTCTCCGTAGTGGTTCAACGAAAAAAATTACATTATATCGTACGAGCCTCCCGGCGCGCATTGTCACATTTCCGTTCTGAATCTGAACCGCGTTGCCAATTATTCACGACTTCTCTGCCTCTCTTTCTTCCATACACGTGCAACAACCGCATTACATTATTTCACGACAATTCGTAGCACGTTTATGTTTGTCCCTCGTCGAATTTGCATCTCCTCCACTTCCATTCATTTTATGTATTATTCTCATTTGTTCGATATACTCGATCGATGTTTCTTCTGGCGCACACACACACGTGACCTCCTTTTCATACACTCTGCCCGGCTTCTCTTTCCTCTTCTTTCGTTGCACCGCCAGGCGTATACTTTTTTATTGTTTATTTAGAATTGACGGGCAAGGCCACATACATCGAATAATTACGATACTTATGACGTGATAAGTATATTATTGAATTAATTCTTCTTTTATAATATTGTATCTCATTTCCCCTCCTGTATATGTACACCAAAGGGCTTATTGCCTGTTAAATAAATTAACAATAATATACACGCCCGAACATTTATCCCCCCGTGTCTGCCAGCACGCTCCTAATCAACGACGCGCCCCGATACGCTCGAGATGAATATTCGTCTGAAAACGTTTAAAAAGCGTGACAGGCATAAACACCTTCGAACGTATTTCGCGGGAACCGTACCAGCGAGCCAACTCGCGGTTCTACAGGAGCAGATCATCTCTTGGTGTACACTCGGTATACCCTACGTTACCGCTCGTTTGCGCGCGGTCAGTGGTTCTCTGTCTCGTTCACGTTGCGTGTTCCCCCGGACTCTCTCGTTCTCCCATACCATTCTACCTCCGCTCTGTCTCACTCTGCCCCTCTCTGTTTCACCTCCTACTCCCTCGCACACAATCACGTGGGGGATCGTGCACACGCACGTATACACACGTATGTACACCCATACACGTACACACATCGTGGTTTCCTCGTAGGTAGGTAGGCACAAAGGCCCGACCGTGTATATACCCTGTTCTACTGCCTACCTGCTGCCTCGAAGAGCTTGAGCTCTCGGCCCCCCGAGTCACGTGGTCTTTCTCTCCGAACGGGCGAAGGATGTTTGTGGGATCGCGAAGTTAGTTCGCGACAATCCGTTCAGCTGGCAAGAAGACAGAGAGAAAGGAAGAGACACAAGCTAGGAGGACACGCTACCGCGGTCGACCAGTGGGACAGGAACCAGTGGATAGGGAAAGGGGGTGGCAGAGGGGGGATAGGAGACACACGGGGATAGAGTGGCGGTAGGTGGATCGAGGATACCTCGCGCTCCCAAGTTTCAACCGAGTCCTCCGCCGATGTTAACGCGTTCGCCCGCGTAGCGACAGCTTGTTGTGTGTTTCGTGCGGCCCGCGATAAAACTGGACACTGGCACTGTGAACAAACATTGTGAGTGAACGAAACGTTCGGAGTTTTGGAAGATTTTCAGCGTGATCGAGATTCTCGGAGTGGTATTGTTGTGAGTTCCACGATGTCATCGATCGCGAGAAGACGCTTCGTTGCGGGCTAAATGGCAAAGAAGAAAGCGAAGAGGAACATCGAGGAAACGAAACACTTCGATGTCTGTCGTAAAGAGGACTTTTAAAACCGTAGAAGAGAGAAAGTAGATTTTCGATCTTTATATGTTTCAATAGGAATCTAAGTTTTCTGTGTGATCGCCATCGGTAATTGCCGCCGTGTTTTTTTCAAAATCAACAGCGGTCCTCGACGTACCAGTGAAGGAAGTCGTCGGCTACAGAAACGGTGTATCGCCATCGGTAATTGCCGCCGTGTTTTTTTCAAAATCAACAGCGGTCCTCGACGTACCAGTGGAGGAAGTCGTCGGCTACAGAAACGGTGGAAACGCTAGAAACGCTAACAAACAACTCTGGAAACGGTACCGTTTTGGAGGAGGAGGAACGCGCGCTGGCGGGCAGTAAGCGTTTCGCGTACGAACTGTTGTGACTCAATAACGATGAATGGTACCTCTAAACTATCACGAGATATTGCAGCGAAACGACGATCTCGAGTGGAGTAGAGATGGACGAAGGAAAATACTATCGATTCGCGTTATCACAGATGACCTTGCGTCGAGTGTTGGCGTCTAGATAAACTCAAGGGGGCCATGCCCGTTTCATGGGACGCGCGTCGCGGATAGATCGGAGCCGTGATAGCTCTCGAACGACGAAAAAATGCAGTTGGCAGCGACACAAAGGCCACATCCACCGCCTGTGCCGCCGCGACCGAGCCGGCAGGTGGTCGCGGAGGCCCTCAAAAGATCCCCAAGGCCGCCCTGTCCGACCAGACAGGCCCCGCCGCCGCCCAATACCCGACCCTGGCGATCCGATCAGGAACAGGGAAAACAGGTGTCAGGTGCCACCGTCGGTCGTACGGTTGTATACGAGTCGACGACCATCAAGGAATCAGTACTCTCGAACGAAACCACCTCCGTGAACGCAACGGTTCGGGTCAGCGACAAAGATCGCGTAGCTGCTCGAGACGCGGGTGAAAGGAACGTGGACGAGGACGATCAACATGGAAATCCACTGGAAAGGCGGTACCGGTCGGTCGATGAAAATTCCATCGAGCCCACCGGGAATCAACAAGTTTCCACCAAGATTCCGGACACCGATCGCAGCAGCGATACTCAACGTGTCGAGCATCCAGGATATTCTCGTGAATTTAAAGAACGAACCAGTAACTCGGGGGGGCTCCTTCGATCTCTCGCGAAACCGAGTCACGACGCGGAGAATGTAACGGACCCGAAAGAGTTTCGAGGCGAGACGTTGGTATCTTCTGTGAAAAAACACGTGGAGACGGGAATAAAGTCTTCGGTATTGTTGAAGTCGAACACACCCGATGAATGTTCGTCGAGTTCTGAGGCGAAGAACGAAATCTCGAGGTCGAACACGGAGAAAATCGGCGCTTCGGACCGAAACGGAGCGACGATCGAGGTTCGTCCGACTCCCACTCGGAGATCGTGCCTCACGAAAAATCGAGACGGGACGAGGAAAACACTCGAGAGTACCGCGATCGAGGAGGGCTCGTCGAGCGTGAATGAGAATGTCGAGACGACCGCGGCGATTTCGTGCGTCGACCGTGCAACGGTGGTCGTTATCGACGAACCAGAGCGTAAAGCTTCCTCAAACGACGCCGATGACGTGGACGAACCGAATGGGACCGCGAACGAGAACGAGAACGACAACATTCATCGGCAGGATTGGCTGGACGCCGGTGTACAGTACTCGTCCACGCAGATCACGCTGTCTGGCGACGACGCGGACGCCGTCGACGGGGATCGTGTTAACGGGCTGGATCGATGCGAAAACGAGAAAATCGGTGACCTTAATTTCCTGAGGTAACGCCATCGCGAACGGAAAGCGGGAAGATTGCGTGTTAAGATATTTTTGGTTTATGTTTCTCTTCTATCGCTCAGATACCATGTATACAGGGCCGTTCCTGGGTTGTTGGCCGCCCGGGTGCAAAAATAGTATCGTCGCCTTTATTAATTTAACATTATCAATTAAGATATTTCATTTCTTAAACATGAATGGTTTACTATTAACGTCACTATTCAAGTAGTTTATGTGTAAATTTATGGTACAGTTAAGTGACTCACCCTGTATATATCTTCCGTTCGTACGCTTCTGAATGGAGGAAACGGAAAGTCGTGATTCCATGTCAGCTGACTTCTCATGAATGTATAGTGTTTCGAATCTGTTCTAACGCGTTGCTTATCAAAGAAAACCGTGATGTTTGTACGAACTTGGTGGATAGATGTCCAACCAATTAAAAGGTAGATACAGGAACGTAACATACGAAAACGGTTCGATGTACGACTTCCTGGAGTAAACATGGTGCACTCAAGATAGTCCTCTCGATATAATCCTTCGAAGAAGAAGCTTCCACCTTTTAGTAGATTTGTTCCTTACATTAAAGATTTTCGAAACGCACTCGTGATTCCGAGTTGCGATTGATTCCAGGCGGTCGATACCCGTTCGATAGAATTTGATAGAACGTGTTAACAAACCGGGTTCGTAGTTTGATGTGAAAAATTTCACCCTTTCCAGTCTACAAGAGAGGATCGCGATGTCTTCCCTACAAGGTCTACCACCGTTACCCAGGAGCCTCAGCGGGTTCAATTTGAGCGGGGGTCGGGGCGAGGGTTGCGAACCACCGCCGCCGCCCACCAGATCATCTAGCAAAGCACAGAGAGGCGGTAAAACAACCATTCAATCGTCGTCCAGACCATCACCACCTGCCAGACAGCTCACCACCCTGGACACTCAGCTGGCTATACTCAGAAGAGAAATGGTGATTGCCGAATAGTTTCTTAAGCACCTGCACAGATGAGGTATAGGAGTAAACATTTCATCCAATGTATTTTTACGGCCCACTCTTCTGGGGTTATGTTACCCCATTTCTATTTTAGTGTCACTACCCACTGCAGATTCACCGTTCTCATAACGTAGAGGTCGCTAAAATGATAGGCGTTTTAAGGTGTCGGTACTACAGTTTAGGTGGGCCACCATCTCCCATAAGATGAAAAGTCTATTCTTATACCTCGTCGATGGCATCTGCAAACCACCCTGTCGCCGCGGAACTGTTGCCACGGACGTCGAGTTTTCCGCGGGCAATTTGTCGAGGAATGGTGATCGATATTAGGAAACGATTACATTTCCTTTGGAATCCAGTAGTAAGCGAGCGCGCGCGCGCGCGTTGCGACACAGCTACGGCGCGCGATGGAAACAACAGTTTTCTCTTTATATTACGTAACGCGCTTCAGCCGCTCAGACGCCGATATCCGTCGTGGAAAACTCCTTTGAAAATGAAGAAATTCGAAATTTCAAATATCCACGAGTAGAAAAATATTTACGCATTTTTCGGATGAAACGCATTAACTTTAATGGGAAACGTTAGTCATCTCGTTCCTCGCGGTCCTATGAGTCGTATTTACTAGCTGTCAGGCAAATCTTACGATTTACGAGTTTCCATGAACGGAAGACCAAAATCCGTACCGTATCTTAATAGGTCTGGTCTGGATTGTTACGGTATTTTTCCTTGTAAAAAAAAATTCTCCATATGTATGTCGCACACGAATGTTTTTCGACTGTTGTTCTGTTTTCTGATCTTTCCTCTTCTTCGTTTTCTCGCTTTGGTACTGTCAGACTGATTCGTTACCTTGGGGGCCCAAGTTATCGCGTGAGTAAGCCGCGGAACCGCGATGAATATGTATTCGTAGCGTGGGATAATATGCGGAAGGTACGACTAAATATAAACGTTTGTATCATCGTGTTCTGTATGCTGAAACTGTACAGGTTTTTTTTTTTTAAATCGACTGGAGATGGAGATTGTAGATAATGTGGTAAAGAAAAACAGTAATTAACGGGCGTCAAGAACATAAACACGATTTTGCTTGGAAGTTGGGCTAATAGTTTAATAGTCAATCCAGACACGAGGCGAACTGGCACAGCCGCTCCCACGCTGCATTCCCTCAGGCGTGACTCCCCCCTCTCCACCCCCCTTCACCTCCTTTTTGTGACCGCTCTCTTTCACCTTCGTTCTTTCCCTGCCTCTACTCCATCTTTTCTCCTCTTCTTTTACCTTCCTTCTCGGGTACACCGGTACGCCGACACCTCTCATTTCCATTCCCATTTTGCGCCTCCTATGCAACTCCCTCTTTCTTCGTTCCCACGGCCGGCGAGCCGCTGGTTCTTGCTTACTCACTCGCTTGGTTCGAAATACACGTCGTTTCAATTCGTAAACCAGCGTTTACTTTGGCGGACGATTAGAAATTAATTAAATGTAACGCTCCTTTGAAATTGTTTTCTATAAAAAATATATATAGAAAGTTTTTCCTAATTCAGGAACGAACCAATGATAATCATTCTTCGTGAACGATTTGCTTCGCAGTTCGGACTTCGACAGTTGGATCTCTCTTTGCTCTCTCAATTATGGTCTTTGAACGAATCCATTCAAGAATTCCGACAGCTTCTGCAAGAACAAGAAGACAGAGCACCGTCGCCCTCGCCTAGTAGCGAAGAAGGGGACGACACCTCCTACGGAACTCATCCTCCACCACCTCCGAGAAGATCGGCTCCTGTTGTACATCATCACAGACCACCGAGGCCGCCGAGACCGCCTAGGCCACCACCCAGCGACGAATCACCGTCCAGCGAGGAGTACGGAGCCGTATGAAGTCGGTCGAGTCGACACGAATCGTTAAACGAACGAATATTCGTATGGAGAACACATTACTTGTCCGACAGATTTAGGGAAAATTGAACAGATAGGACAAATTGAATGGATAATTCCGATAATGACTATCGATTGTTGGTTGGCTGCCAAATAATCGTTCCCGTTGAAATATCCAAGTGAATCGAACGAATATGCAATGAAATGCGTTAAATGTAATTGTTACGAGGAACTTGTTGCTGTTCAAAGGGTACCTGCGATGAATTGTATTATAAATTCATTGCGAAGTTTGTTCGTTGAAAATCGCGTTTCTCGTTGCGACTGATCAGCTAAGCAACCTCCAGTGGGAGGCCAGTGTTATACAAGTTACTTAACCGCATGCCATCGTTCGTTGAACCAAAAAAAAAAAAAAAAGAAACTGACGATATCGATTCAGGAAGACACAACGATCCTCCGCGTAACGCATAATTCGTATTTAGGTAAGGAAGAAATCTATTATCCTCGATAAGAGTTACTTTAGTTGAACGCGTGCTCTTTTTTCTATTTGTGATAGCAGTCGAAGGGGCCTTTCATTAACTATAGTAGATAACCGTTTGCGCGAATTAAGCATTCCCGTGATTATTCGTTGAATATCAACTGCAAGGGATCCGAGCCTGCGAATCGCGAATCGACAAACGGCTAGTGAGTTCCAAAGAACTGCGTTCGAAAAGTCCTTCTCTCTTCCACATGTCTCCATCGTTGTATTACGTCCATTGCAGAATTTCCTTTCTTATGGGAATGCAAATAAAGAAAATAATAAATATGCGCTGATACAAATCAACAGGAACCGTCGAGTTGCACAACGACGACGTATGAAATTTTATGTAAACTAATTGGAATGTGTAAAATAAAGGATAGAACGCGAGGTACAAATAAACGAGCTGTAATATGGAAAGCAAAATTTACATTGAGTATACACTAGGCCGTTCGTACCTACCTTGCTTTAAAACGAGACTTCGTGTAAGTTAAAATATTGTTTTCGTAAACAGTTCAACAAGTCCTTCAAAGTTTGAAAATGTCGCTAGTTTAACGGAATTAAGATAGAGTAATGACCCTTCCCTTCAGATGTCGCTACCGTGCAATCTCCACACGTATCTATTACGAAGAGGTTATGTTCACGTGTGTGCTAAGTGTTTTGCGCCTTGGGCACGTCAAGAGTTAAGGAACTATTTGAAAGGATGTCTAATGAACATGGAAACAATGAAAGTGGTAAAAAAAGGAAGAAGAAACGATCTCAAATGCAGATGGCGAAGAAATTCGCAAGACAAAGGAATCATGGTTCCGATGTTGATTCAGACACGTATCAGTATATGGTACGAATTTTGGAGTTGATGAGGGGCGAGTTTCCAACTTCGGAGGAGAAATTGATATTTGTAAATAACGTATACGAGCAGACCGTTGGCCACGAACTCGAGTATGCTCGAAATCAAATTGGATCCAGGATATTGGATTCGCTTTTAAAGTACACGAATTTAAAAACGATTCAGAGGTTAGTCGACACTTTTGCGTCTTCTTTACGACCGCTCAGTAGCGATAGGTTCGCAAGTCACGTTATACAGAAGATTATAATGGTTTCTGCAGACAGAGGAAACGGATATACAGCCAAGAAATCGGACTCTGAACAAGGCAAAGATGCTGTTATAGAGGTAGAAGAATCGGAAGTGAAGTTTTATAATGATATTGTGTTGAAATTAAGTAAATACTTGGTCAATAATATAGAGGAATTTGTATTCGATACATACGCGAACCATCTATTGAGGACTGTTGTAGAATGTCTGGGTGGATTAATCGATAAGACTGAGTCCAATGACAAGAAGAAAACAGTGTATGGAGCTAGACGAACAGTAACACAAGAATACAAAGATCTGTTATTGCAAACTTGTGACAGACTGCAGAAGTGGCCCCAGTTCCTAGAATTTGGTAACGATGAACTTACATCTGGATTGATACAAAGTATTTTATATTCTTTGAAAGATATGTATCCGGAGATGTTGAAAATATACATTAAAAAGATTACAAAAGAATGTTTCAAACCTAGAGAGGACCAGCAAATATCAAATGTTTTTGACACGGAATGTTCGTCCAGATTATTGGAGGCTTGTTTAGCTGTCACAGAACCAAAATTGTTCGATAAAATTTACAAACATTATTTTTCAAATAAACTGAAAGAATTGTCTTTGATGCAAGGTACAAACTTTAGTGTGCAAAGGCTGATAGATTATTGTAGTACAAAGGAAATTCTTGAGAAAATATTCGAAGAAATTTCAGCTTGTCTCTCTGAAATTCTCAGCAAGAGTTATACTGGCATTTTAGTCAGTTTAGGGAATGCGTGTTTGAGGCTACAAACTAAACAGGGTGCATTCGTCACTGACATTTTGAAAGCGCTCTGTTGCGAAGCGTCCAAGGAGCAGCATAAAATTGTGCTGTGTATAGTAACTTTAAAGCCATTGGATCAATTGGAAGAGTCACGAAAAGAGAATAGTTCGAATTATGTTCTTAATCTACACGGAAGCTTAATTGTCCAGGCTATTCTGAAATTCAATAAGCCGATTAAAATTGTCAACTCGTTGTTAGAAACAGACGGTACAGAATTGTGCAACTTATTTAGCGATCCAAAAGGTAGTCGTATCGTAGATGCTTTTATGGATAGCAAGTACATCGGTGAGAAAAGCAGGGAGAAACTTGCGAAGAAGTTGAAGGGCCACTGGGCTGAATTGGCCCGCAGTACGCACGGTTCGAGAAGTTTGGAGAGAATATGGCAGTGGGCGCGTATAAATCAGAGGACATTAATCATGGAAGAGTTAGCAGCGGTTGGAGAATCCTTGCGTTCCACAAAAACCGGACAAATTATATCGAGTAAATTGAATGTTCCCTTGTTCGCGAGAAGTAGGAAAGACTGGACGGAAGCCTTAGACAAGGAGGATAAGACTAGAGCTCTTTTCGCAGACATAATAGGCGGCGAGTCAGCCAAGAGAAACGAATAAATTACTTCCTGTAAAATATTCTACGTGTTGCTGTAAATAAATTTTTATTGTTGCGTAAACTATTATGTAGAGGAGAGAGAAAGTGCTTGTTCATGCTCATTCTTTAAGCGTTAAGACATAGGATAATTATATATATTTCGTGAATTCATAAATACAATTCATAGAATCCATCATACATCCCTACAACAGAATGCAGCCAGAAAGAAAAACATACAATGATTCGTAATCTATAGTTGAGCAAAGTTTTCCTAATGTGTATGATCGGTAAATTCGTATTAGCTTCCGACGGTGACTAGATTTAAATTTATGCGATAATTACATGTACGCGTACAAAGGGAAAGTTTTAGCAGCTTTCGTTACACGGCTCGTTGCGATCTTCTGGTTAAATCTATCAATTGACTAGGAAAACATCGATTTATCGTGCTTGACCGCGCGATATATCGATCGAGTGACAACCACATCTGTTGACAACTCAAGACCGTTACAGTATTTCGAGTATCATGCCAAATCGAAGATATTCAGGAAAGTATCAAAACAATTATTTATATTTCTGTCTATTTCCTTAAAGGTTGGGAAGTTCGTATCGCATGGTATTTGTTCTAAAATTATATCGATGAGTTAACTGGCCGGTATATTTCCTTTCAATTCAACAGTATCGTCTCTTTGGTTGTTACGAAGTATTTGAGGGTTACAATATCCCATACGCATACAGGAAACGTGTGGTACTGTAGGTACTCTTGTAGAAATGGGAAGGATGTTAATTCTTTTCTGAGAATCTGCCGCGATACTGACTTCATTTTAACGGATCGTTTGAATCTTAATCGACGGTACTTTGATTCATGATATTTTTCATAAAAGGAATATGTAATCGTTATTCTTGTACTCGGTATTTGATACTGTTGCGGTTATTGCTCGTTTGAACCCTCTACGATCTGGAATACTCTGATGACTGCAGATACATGCATTCAAATATATACATATAAACATACCCCGATGCCCTCGATAATTTCTCTCTACTTTTCGTTTCCACCAAGAAGAAAAGTGACATAGTCGTCAAGATATACATACGTCGTATACTACGCTAGGCAAAAGAGTTGGACGAACGATTGTGCAACGACGATCATAGAGGGTAAACATTTGTCGCGGTTTACATGCATGCATATATACATTCATACATCATCATACATACATCATACATAATGCACTGTTCCCATAAGTTCGTATATTCGCCGTTTAGTGGCGCGGCAGGTCGGACGCATTCCCGCGCCAATTCCCATTCAAACGTAACCTCGACGATCTCGTCTCGTTTTCGAACACACACTCGCATCTAATCAATCGTGAACGACACGCGATCAACGTTGACGCGAACTTTTCAAGTAAATAAAGTCGAATAAAGTACACGGAAGATGTGTCAACTCGAGAAACGATTAACGCGAATCGTAGTGGATCGGTTTCGTGAATTGACGGTGAAGACTATATTTTACATCGTGATGTCACTTTCCTTTGGATTGCGTTGTGATCGGTATCGGCGGAGCGGCGACATCCACATCGTTGACGTTCGACGAAAGATTCCCAGTTGTGATTCTCGGCGGGCTACGAGACGCAGACCTGCTAGTTTCACGTGGTGGAGCATTGTTGCAGGTCGCGTGATGCCCGCCGGCTTCCCAGTCGCGGTGTTGACAAAAGGAACCACAGTATCTGGCAATTCCACAACCTCCACAGGTCTCCAAAGCGGGTCTACCACAATTCCAACAATTCTAAAAAAACGACGATTAAATAACGAAATCGTCGAGGGCGGATTACCTTAATGAAAATACTCACGGATCCCGAAATGGTCTGCAAGTGTGTGTCCTTCTCATCCTCGATGGTAGATGGCACTGAGTTCGAATTAGCGATTGGCATTGCGACTGTTCTCGCGTTACTGTCTACAGCGTTCGGATTGCCGTGAACTCGAACAAACGAGCCCTGACGAAGTGCACTGTGATTTCTCTGAGACACCGGAAGATCGAGCAACCGATGCACTCGAAGACGTTCGTTCGCCCTAGACTCAGCGACTGCCGCAGCCACGGCTCTTTGGACCTCGGCTACTGCAGCTCTCTTTACCTCCAGTACAGCTTCCTCTGTAACGAAACGATACGTTCAGGTAAATGGTATCAGATAACGCGGGAAGTATACGAAACAACGACTGACCAGCTTTTCGTTTAACTTCCGCAACTTTATCTTCAGTCGCCCTAATCGTCTGGGCAACGATCTCCCCGGACAATCGCTTCAAGCTACCCTCTCGATCCCCCGTTGAGGACTCTACTTGAGAACCGTTCGTCGATGACGGATTGTTTCCGGTGACTGTGTTTCCAGTACCATTTTGGGCCACAATCGAGGTCGTGGATGCCAACGGAGGCGCTGCTGCTGGACTGGAGCAACCACGTGTCTGAAGAATGGCCAGAGCCCTTTTCGTCTTCTCGACCATTCCAAGTATGCAATTCAACATTACATGAATATTCTTCCACTCGTCGTCTAGACTCCCGTTTTGCATTTGAGCATGGTTCGACTGCTGTTGCTGCTGTTGGTGCTGGTGCTGCTGAGGTAGATGGTGCGTCCCCGAGAATGCGTTTATCTGATTAATTTGCACGAGACTGGGTGGCACTGGACTGGGACCGTGACCATGACGGTGACCTTGCATCGATCCGCTGGACGAGTGAAGCGGATGATACCAACAGTAAGACGGGGAGCTGTCGGTAGGCGGTTGTTGCTGTTGCTGCGAGTGGTGATGGCTCCAAGGATTCGACAGTCTTTTCCCGTACACCGGCACATCGTCGAAGAGCACTCCGTTTTCGTAGTACCTACGGCATTTTCACGAGTAACGTAAGTACACGTTAACTGCACCTTTTTACAGCTTGTTTCGAATAACCTCGATAAACGCGCATGGTCAAAGATTCACACTAGTTTGCGAATCGGTGGTTAGTTCTGTGGTTATCTTACAATAAAGCCTGTGGATTACGGATTTGAGAAGAAAAGAGGATAGGAAGATTTTTTGTAATTTGTCACAGACATACGTGTAGATGTTCTCTGCTGCAGTTACGCAAACAGCCCAATAGCGTCGAAGCAGGAGGCCGGACGTAGGATCCTAATAGCGATATACCTCCGATAAGCACTCGAGGCAAGTTCACAGTGTGAGTCGAGAGGGAAGGGGGGCAGGAGGGAGGGAAGAACGGTCAGGGGTGTTCGGGAAAGGTGGTGTCCCGATGATATATGGAAACGTCACTGGCAGACGTATCGAGAGAAGGCCAGACCTGCCTGGCATTGCCAGCATCCCGCGCGTCGCGTATTGTCGCCTTCGGGCTCGCTTCGGCGCCCCTTTCCGTTCCGCGTACACGCGCATGTCGTATTCTAATCGCGAATACCAATGTCTTCCACGCGTATGCCAATCGTTAGAACCGTTTCGTGGTCGAATATCATTGAATCTCGAGGCAAGGGACGATAATAAGACCTGTATCCACTCCAGACTCTAGAGCAGTGGTGGTTTCGTGGTTCTTGTATTTTTGTATTATAAATATAACTCTTATTTATTAGGGCTGAAGATATCACAAGAATTAGGGATATTTCAATGTGCGAGACGAGACCTTGTTTAAGCCAAATTTTTATCAAATTTTTCGTATTTTTTTACTATTTTAATTCTTATTTAAGAAAGACTTTACTACTACGTCATTCGACGTCAGTGTCAAAATTTCTTTCGAATCACGTTTATTTAACACTCTGGCTCTTCTGGTGGTACGATCCCGATAAACAATATTGAGAAACGCAGGCCCATGGCCAAGAATTTTTCTGAATGGAGGGTTGTGGCCAGGATATACCACAAGCGCGTGTACGCGCAGTTGCGTGGCCTGTCGTTATCGTGTGAAATATTGGAACGACTAAAAAGTTCGTGTGGTTTTCGGCCGTAGTTGTCTTCATGCGCTCTGAAACGCTTGACTGACTTTAGTTCAAATCATGAAAGTGTGTCGCTAAATTTCTGCAAAAATTACACAACTCAATATTTGCAGTTATTGAGTTATTCGTATAGAAACAGACGGTTGTATATGTACTTTTTATCTAAATCATAGCGATCAAAACATTCAAACTTATTTTCTCCAGTATGATTCGTGTCCACGATTTATAACGTATTCAATATAAAGAAAAAAAATGTATTGCAAAGTTCAACTCACGGAGTATCGGAGGCTCGTCGCTTCGGCGCGTGGGACGAGTTCCCGGAATAATGGTGCAAACCGGCCGTCGCGTTGCTCGTGTGTTGAATAGCACCAACGTCGGGATTCGAATTGGACCGCATCCCGTAATGACTGGAACACTGATTGCCGCCGCCGTTTCCGTTACCACTTCCTAACCCGTTACCGGCAGCTTGCTCCCCGAAGATCTCGACCGGCTCACCTGCGGATACCAAGCCGACTGCCTCCAACACCGCTGTCTCGTTCGATCGTAAGAACTGCGCGGAACTCTGTCGATTATACGAAACAAATCAAGTTTAAGGTAATCTACTTAACTACTTTAAAATCCTACGATTTTTTTGATGATCGAATTGACGGTGGTATTCGAGTCCAGACAGGACATTTAGGATGTGTTTTGGAACAATTTATTTTAGAATATTCTAACCTTCTTATAAATTTCTAATATGATGAACTATACGCTTTAGATAGTTGCTATCGGTATATAGGGTGTCCCAAAATAGGCGTAAGTCCTTGAAAAAGGTGATTCCTGAGATGATTTGGAACAACTTTTTCCTTAGTGAAAAAGTTCTTCGAGGATTTATTAACGAGATATTAACGAAGAACTCCGACAAATTATGGTTTATGTACTTCAAAGTCAAATTCTGGGTCAATTTGACCAAATGTAACAACGTAGGGTTATAGAAAATAGGAAGACCATTTATCCTCTATATTTCTAATAAAATAATTCTCCAGAACCAACGTGTCTTGTCCACACAACGTTCTCGCGATGAAAAGTGTAATTCATTCGGGCAGGTACACTTTCGTCGTTGGAAAATATTATAAAACCAGACTTCGACGAACAGCCCCTCGGGTCAACCCGCGATCTGGCGTCCAATCAGTTTCGATCTTTAATATTCGTTCGGTCGGCTTCTTTACGACTGGCAGCTTTCGTCGAAACTTTTCGAACTTGTACCCCCTCGGGGGTGCCGCGCAGTCTACCACGGGCGGACTGGGATTTATCGGTTCTAATTCAGTATCGGAACCCTTGCCCGTTTCTCCGTGGATGGCGGGGGGTGGGTTGGCCAACGTTATCGTCGACTTATCGGCCGCGTTCTCCGATTCTCAATTAACGATCGTCGATCGTGTTCGACGTTCCCACCGGATCCGTCAATTTCCTCGCGTGCAAATGCATCCACCCCTAAATTTCGACAACAGGGACGTCGCACAGTGTAACGATCCCCGGTGAAAATGAAAAAGAAAATTATGGAAGTTTTTTTTATGCAAAAGTATCAGTAACACTCCTGTCCGCTATGAAAATGTTAAAAAATAATTTAATGCTGTAATAGTCAACAGTTACACGGAGACGAAAAGCGTGGTCGAAAATAGTTTTATATACATTTTCCTGTTTTATACCCTGTGGCCCATATACTCGTCACACTGTGCGTCGGTGTATGCACACCTTTACGAAAAGAATCTCACGTCGCGAAAAGTCCTTCGCCGTTGGCTGCCTCGAGAAAATGTAAATCGGTGCGCTATTAATTTGCAATTCGTTACAGCCGCCTTGCTACCCGTTCCCTCGTGCTTCTACTATACAGGGTGTCCCAAAATAGTTTCGACTCCCGGAAATGAGGGGCGCTTGAGATGATTTGAAACAACTTTTTCCTTACAAAAATGTTATCCGAGGCTTTATTAACGAGATATTAAGAAAAAACACCGACCAATTAGAGCACCATCATCATTGGGAACGCGCTGCAATTGGTAGCCAACGCTACCGCGGATGCTCGGCCGGCAGATTCGCGCTCTGATTGGTCGGGGTTTTTCCTTAATATCTCGTTAACAAAGCCTCTGTTAACATTTTTGCCGAGGAAATAGTTGTTTCAAATCATCTCAAGAACCCCTCATTTCCGATAGTCGAAGCTATTTTGGGACACCCTGTATATCCGTCTTTCGTCTCTCCTTGCCTCGGAACCACCCTCTTCTTTCTCTGTCTGTGTGTGTTCTTTCCTCGTTTCCTTCTTTTTCGAGACAGGCAGCAGCTGGAAGCGGTGGCGTAACCGGAAAGCCTCTATTAATTCCGCGACTCGTGCCTTATTCTTTCCCGATGGAATCACGAATTCTGCTCCGTTTCGACGGAGAACGAAAATAATAGCGTTTCGATGATCGAAAGACAAGTTTTTGCACTAATCGAGGTATATGGTACTAATTTTCGTTACGAGATGTCGCGGTTTAACCCTTTTTCGAATTATAGGGGCCGCAGTAGCCCTCTTCAATTTTTGAAAATAAGCAGATTCAATGCCTGTTGATATAATTATTTGTAAATTTATGTAATTTTCTGGTATTTCGTCAAGTTTCTAAACGTTTGCACATTCGTTTGCAGTTACTGGTTCCAGAAATAATTGTTCTAGAAAACTATCTGAATTTGGAAATCCCAATAAGGGTTAACCCTTTAAGTGTTTTATTTCATTTTGAAAACGTGAAATTGCGTGTTTAATCATTTTTAAGCCATTACGAGGATACTCGACGTAAACATTGAAATAGATGAAGAACAAACAGTTCAGTTTGTCCATTATCGATTCACGAGAATAGCAGCAATCTGTTCCCTTTATACAACGAAATCTCAAAAAAAAAGGTGGTTCATTGATTATAGAGGGTTAACAAGGCCCACTGTTGGATTGTTTAACGGGGGCCAGAAGAACACAAAGTCCATCAAGTATATAAACGAGCAGTAGTTATCTCTCCGTTGTAACCAGCCGCGTTTCCGAGGTATTATCAAGCCTTTCCGTTCAGTTCTGCTCTATCTATCCAGTCGTGGAACAGTGTCTGGCTTCCATCCACGATCGCGGGGTAACCTGGGAAATTAAAACAGACCGACAGCCGGTCAGCCCGGGTTCTCTGTTGATTTTACTCGTTTCCCTTGGACACGTGTCCTTTTCTTCAGCCGCGTTCCATAAATTTCAATGAACGTACACGCGTAATAAAATTTCTAATTCACGTGAAATTGTAACTGAAAATTTCTGTCAGGTAGAATTTCAGGGTATCCAAGTGACAGATGATAAGATCACCTCGACAGGGCCACGATACATATATCGTCAGACTTTTAATAATAATGTTAGTAAATAAATTCGAAGAAAACATTTAGGTTATTGGATTCCGATGTTCAGTATTAAAAATAATAATTTTATTCTATTACACTTTCCCTCACGAAATTTTACAAGTTTCTGAAGCACTTAGACTGTAGTTCCTGAACGTGAAGTATAAAAATATTTGCTAGCTTAGATCAAAGAAGGTCGACGAACCTTGGTAGGAATAGACTCACCTGGTTGCATGCTCTGGCGGCACTGCCTATATCCTTCTGCAAGGAGGGCAAGGTGTGCTTCAGGTACGGTAACACAAAACCTCTGAGACGGTAGTTGGTAGCTTCTTGCAGCGCCTGGTGAAACTCCTCGGCGGCCATGCTCCCGCTCTGGAACGTGAAACGAGACGATTCCGGTCGATTAACGCTACTACCCGATGTACCTTCCTCGTGTTTTTTTTTTCCATAACCTGTTTCTGTATACACAACGATCGTAAAAGTTATCTCGAAGGATTTTCTTTCCACGTCCCCGAAGACAGAACAACGCCAGGCGTGTGGATATACATTTCGTGCTCTTGCGTTTGTCACGTGCCGCGATCGTTTTACGGTTAAGACCCGGCTACCAGATGGCACGTTCTGCACGGGCATATGGTACCGCCAATGTACGAGCACAGATGGGCAAAATCATTATCTAGATGAGAACTTTTGAATAAGGAATAAAAGATTTGAAAAAATGCCATTTTTGTTTGAACATAAAAATTCTAATTTTTAGAATTAAATAATGCTTCTTGAATGAATTACGCGGCTTCTTGTCCGAGGGAACAGTGTAACCCAAAGAGGATGATGCAATTTGCGTCGGTACGCGGTTCTCGATGCGGAGCTAGAACTCCGTCAGCTGGTGTACGCGTTACGTACATTACTTGTTCTTATCGTTCGAAGAGTTTCGTGAGTGCGCGAAATCGGAATTACGGGAACGGGCGAGAGAGGAGTGACGTTACGCTGCGTCTACACTGTGTATCATAAACGGGTTGTGTAGCAAAGTTATAAGACTTGATAGGAAAACAGAAAGAAAAATGTTGTACAACATGATGTTACGTAACGTTTATCGTGGTATATAGCATGTTAAGCTGCGTCTACACTGTATGTATATCATACTCTAGGTTATATAGCAAAGTTATAAAACGTGTTAGAAGAACAGAAACAATATTTTTCGTGTTACATGTGATCCATCAAGTGTGACGCCAAAAGGCATAATTTTGTAACAAAGTATAAATACATGTTATACAGCAAAGTTACATAACAATTTCTTAATTAACACTGTTTTACTATACAGTATAGACGCAGCCTAAGAATTTTCAAAATGAAAAACTCAGTGTACATAAATAAAACGTAAATCGATTTACCAGAAGCGCCAACACCAGGGTGCGCACGGTATCGCCGGTATCTGGCGAGATGTCCGTGGCGAATTGCACGAGAGTGCCGAGCAGCCTCTTGAACATCCCGTGACCGGCGAAAACACCGGCGACGCATCTGGTGCCGTTTGTGCCGTTCGACGACGCCGTCGGTACATCGTTCTGCTCTTCCGTTCTGCAGTTGACAGTAGCTGGCCCACTGTCACCGCCGCCGTCACCGCTACCGCCGCCAGAACCACCGATTCCATCCTCGAATTCGGGCTTCAGGATGTGGGTGGATAGAGGACTGCCGTTGTCCGAGGATCTCGCGCAACCGGTTGTTGGCCCCTTGTGCTCGATACGCGGTGCGTTGTTTGTGTGATTTTGTGGACCAGATGACGGAACCACCACCGTCGATACCCTTTGATGATGACCGCCAGGCGACTGCACTTCCGGTTTGCTGTCCTCCCGCGTGGACTTGTCCCTCGTCGTGACGCAGCCCACTGTAATCAGATTCCTCAGAGTTTCTACCTAGTTTCACCCAACGAACTTTTATCCTGTGTACAGTAATGCCTCGATGAGTGCGACATGGCAGGGCGGAAAAGTATTCAGCCCCTCATAAATTTGTTTTTTGTACGAAGTCGAGCCTGAATAGTTTCTGTTTACCCTGTTTTAATTGGTTCCACAAGGGGAGCCCCAGTGTTGGGAAAAACGCGGTTGTTCGTGTCGCATTCATCGAGGGATCACTGTAGTAGGTGGTACAGTCGACGGATACGATATTTTGTCTTCGTAAACTTAAGCGTTTAGTAAGATCGCCTGTTCATGTAACTGCACCAAGGGCTGTATGCGTAAGGGACCCTAACATACAGGGTGAGTCGGTAAGAACTACTATCTACAATAACTCGTTACCTATTGGTTGTGTCTGAAATTACAGTTTCGGCTACCGAAACAGGGGTACCTTTTAAACAGTTCTCTAAGGACACAGGATCGTGCCCGTCGAATTCACTTGATCAATCCCAGCTATCGAAAAGCCGTTCTTTCTACTGTCATCCTCCCCTAGAACGCTCCCAACTGCCATGCTCGTAACTCGAGCCGCGATAGCTTTGTCCGTCGGCGACAGGTCGAACAGTGTCGAGGGTGGGGGATAGGTGGGGAAGGAACGATTTGAAGCATAAAAATATATACGGATTCATTCTCGATAAAGTCGAAAGGAACGTTGAACACGGAAGGGACACAGTCGCCGCAAACGTCCTTTGTACTCGAGGTTGTACATCTGGGGGATGGGGAGCGGTAGGAGCCGTCAACCACGGTGAGCACGTGAAACGGGCAGGCGAATCGGCCACTCGTTTACAAACACACACACACACATCCTGATAAAGGCACACATGGACGCGCTTGCGCGAATACGGACGTGTGTACCTCTGTGCGTGGACTGCACCGGATAACATGCAATTACGGGCCGTGTCATCCACCTTGTCTTGTTCCCATTCTCTGTGTGCGTTACTCCCCCCCCTCTCGCTATGCCGCGTTATCTCGCGGAATGCCTCCCGGGCCTGGTGGCATGCGTGGCAAAACGCCGCGACGTCATAGAATATACAGACACACACACAGACGCCGATAACGAAAATGTTACACGCAGGAACCATTTTCGGATACGCGGATATCGTGTTTCCTTTCATTTACCCAGCGGTCTGAGGTCTTCTCTGGCTCTCTGAATCATAGACTCGTTAACCCTTTCGATGTATTTGTCGAGTATAGTCGTCGTGAAAAAATGGTACTTCTTTTTTGTTCAGCGAGTATACCGGTAATTAAGCAGAGAATTTATGTTTGACACTCTGAAGTGAAATTAGGTACAACAACAAACGTGTTGGTAATTTTAAACAAATTTTAAAATATTTTAGGACAAAACAGGAAAACATGCTAAAGAAATTAATAATGCAATGTTTGATAATGCAGTGACTTTTTTGGGGCAATAGATGGTGCTCAGGTCGTAAGAGTAATCTTGTCGTTTTATTAGAATTTACTTCGATTTTACAGGAAATGTAGTTACTTTACTTTTGTCGAGTATACTCGTCATAGTTCAAAAATAATTGAGCACTCGAGTGCACGGTTTCAAGATGAAATGAAACAGTTGAAGGGTTAAGGCGCAGCTGTCCATTACTGCTGCTTAACACATTACCTACCGGCTGCTATTTAATAGGTTTAGTAGGTCCAGTGATAGGCTAGCACTCAATAAAGTGTAAACATTCGCGAAAATATCACTAACAGAATATGGAAAATCCTGGACGAATCGAAAAAGTGGATTTAGGAGACAACCATGGGCGTAGCCAGTGGGGTCTTGCCGCCCCCTTGAACGAAAAAAAATGACTTCTGCACTACTCTAGAGGAAAAAATTGGATGCCCCCCTAGGGGAAAAAAAATTGGATTTTGCCATCTCCCCCGATAACCTGGCTACGCCCATGGACACAACAAAAGACTCTATTTGAAAGAGAAAAAAAAGAGTCAATTTGGGAGAAACAGAAAGAGTCGATTAGAAAGACAAAGAAACAGTGGATTCTCGAAAGAAAAAAGAAAAGGTCGTTCGGACGGATGTTTTCGCGGTGGGGGCGTGCGAGAATTCGTAACACGGCTATATAAGCGCAGAAGAGAAGAAGTAGAGGTGGGAGGGTCGGCGGTACCATGTCACCGCCACCTGACGCCGGTAGCCAAGAGGTAATTACCTGTACCTGAACTCTCAACGAACTAAACTCCACCTTGAACGCACCTTACGCTCCCCGGGGGCGAGCGGCGTTCCAATCGAGAATCAACTTTGCTACACCCAACCGACCCGCCCATCAACCACGGTATCAAGCCCCGTTCCTTTACTTTTCCTCGTTCCTCGAGATTGAACGATGCTTCGAACCGTCCATGATTCATCTTTCAGATAAACTACAATAAATCCTCGATGGGTGTTCGAAGGCTACGTCGACACAAAACATTAAATATTTCCTAAACAAATGGTCATACGCGACTGAAACAAATATTATTGTCTTCAGAATTCCAAGCACTATCACTGTGCCTAACCCCATTAAAAAATCAGCATTACACCAGGGAACCTCTCCTTGTCAATGCCGAGGCGGCTCTGAACACTCATCGAGGATGTACTGCATCTATCTCTCTATCTCTGCTGACAATAACGTTGTTACCATCGTTATTTTGTTCCTTCGTTCGAACGAATGTTCTTGCAATTTCAATTATCTTTCCCCTATCTTTCGTTTCTGTTTCATTCTGTCCTAGTACGGTGTCTCGAGTGGCGATCAAAGGCTCCATGAAATTAGCGAAAAATTGATCAGCTTCGTTCGGAACGTGTCGAGCGACAGATAGGGTGGCGGTGGTGTTCCCGAATCGCGAAACCGACGGTGGTTTTGACGCGCACCTGGAGCCACACAGGGGTGCAGGTGGAACGGTTGGAGGCAGCTGCTCGTTGTCCCCGTAGACGACGTTTCACCGCGCGCAAAGAGAGATCGATAAAGCGCACGTGCTCCCACTCGGCTGAGAGTCCCTGGGTGGAAGTAAGTACGCTGGGACTCAGCTGTCGCCTCCTAATTGCCGGGACAATGCAACAGATGGCTTTGATCGCAATCCCTTCCCGGCCATCTCTTCTTCCCTCTCATCTCCTCTTCCGTCCCTGGTCCGTTTCCTGATCTCACAGTGCTTCTTCTCCCTTCGACCACTACCTACAACGTCCCCTTTCGCAAGATGTCCACGATTTCCGATCTCTTGGTGCACGCTTCCTTCCGGTCTCGGTGACGCGATTACTTCTCCTCTCGCGATTATCGCGAAATCTAACGATCTGATAGATTAAGTTCTCGCGATACTGAATAGATCTAAGTACGATCGATGAATGATCACTATGTACGAGGTTAGGAGGCTTTTCTTTTGAGATTAGTCGACACTGTCGTTGGGAACGAATCGCTGGAAAGATCGAAGCTATTTTGGGGCACCCTGTATACCTAGTTTAATCATCCGATAGCTACCCAGAAAAGGTGTTCTCGAGCAAAATTCCTCTCGAAAGGTGTTGCGCGAGATAGCCAAGGGAAATCGTGGGTTTCGCGAGCAGAGTCATAGATATTGCCGCGTGCTCAATCGGATTTCCAGGGGTAGAAGAGCTAGCTTAATATCACCGGTCTAACGTAAGACCCATTTCTCGGAATTGCAGTCGCGAGATCTAATAAAGTTTCCCGAAAAGCCCGAAAGAGTGAGAGAGAGAGAGAGATGAATCCCCCACACCTTTCAAGGGATCCCACGAGGCGTTTACAACTCTTGAGGTAAATTGGAGACGGTTTGGTAGGGTCGAAAAGGAGGATGTACGATGCTCTTCTAGCAGTTAGTAGAACTCGTTCCCGTTCTACCGTCGTCGTAAGCAGATCCGAGAAGAATGTACGCGATGCGAAACATGCCGCGTAGGTACACCACCGGAGGACTATCGCGAAATATAGTACCTCGAACGTCGGGGATGCCGAGGGTGTACCGGATATGATATCAGCCTCGAGCAGAATCCCGGTGGAAGCGTTGGACGTGCCTTATCGCGTCTGGTCCAGGCAGTCAGCCGGAGAGAGAGCTCGAAGCCGACCTAACCAACACACACCGAGCCCCCACGACCGACCCAACCAGGGCTTGACTGACTGGCTGTTCACGGAGGAGTTTCGCCCATCCACGGGTCGAGCATTCCGCGATCGCGTCATCGTCCATGTGCGCACTACAGCCACCTTTTACTTCCCTTCTTCTGTTTGCCATCAGCCCATTCCTCTTATTACTCATTGTCGGTGTAGAAGATCGTTATGATGATAGTGTGTGTCTGTGTTCGAGGATAGAAAGAAGAGGATGCAAATGTGGTAACCGTGGTTATTGTCAGAGTGGGACTTGTATCTTCAAGGAAATGCTTGTGGCCCTCGAAGGTCCGTTCTCGAAATCCAAGAATTGTAGTAAGGGTACTTAAATATGATTCCTTTAAAATGCTATTTACGAATGGGTTAATGGAAACCTAGTAAATTTTATACAATTTTATAAATTCCACCTCTAAGTAAATGGTAATATTTTTACCAGAAATTGTTAAGGAAAAGGCAGTCGCCACGGACATTCTGTCGCGATAGAAAGCGTAGTGGCGCGGCGTCGCGACGAATTGGTTAACGAAAACCAATCGATCGTTGGGGGGCACCGGCGAGAAACAGTGGTGGCGGCGGTGGTTCGGATGCAATGACGGGGCTTTGACGAGAGAGGGAGAGAGAGAGAATCGGTCTTTTTTTTTCTGTCCGTAACCATTTCCAAGGTAGCTGCGGGCTTCTGCCCGTCCAGATAACCAGTTCGGTCTAAATGTACGATTCGGACGAGAGCGTACCCGTGGGCCTGGATATACGGGTACCCCCATGCAATATTCCAAACTAATGCGCCTCCTAGCCCCCACACGGCTAGCAACTAACGTTTTCGCGCGGAAATATACTCGATTCGCCTGTACCTTCTCCTAACCGTACGAAACTTTTACTCCTTTCGGAATTTATGCACGTATATCTCCCCCGAAAACGATGTTCGTTGCCGATACAGTGAATCCTCGATGAGTGTTCGAACACTCCTCGAAACGGAACATTAAGAGACCTCGTAAACAGACAGAACTCCTTGTCAGTACCGAGAAGAGTTCGAACACTCATCGAGGATTTAGTGTATACGTTTTCCTGATACATTTGTTTACTAAAAAGTAAGGTTCGAATACTGAACCCTCATCCGTCCCTTGTTCCTCGATATCCAAGTTAGCGATCGTCGTTGATCGCGATATGGAAATCACTTTGTAGGAGTGTCACAAAACCGTTGTTTGAACAGTTAATTAATTATAATCTAACGTTATATGTAGACGCTGGAAAAAGACAGTAAAATAATATAAAAAGGATGAAAAAGCTGATGACGCACCCTTTGTCTTCGCTTTGAGATCGAGATCGACCGGAAAGGGTTCGGCGTTGGCGGTGACGGTGACGGTGACGGAGGAGGCCGGGGTCGACGGATGGCAGATAATAGCTGAGGTCGCGGGGCACGCATTGGACACGGTGCTCGTCGATGGAACGACGGTGGTCGGGTTCGAAACGCCGTTGGCATTTATATTGCTGACGGTGCTATTGCCAGGGGGCACGTTGGCCACGATACTTGCGCTCGGAGCGGTCGCAGTTACCGCGATGCTCGCGGTTCCCGTTGACGTCGACGATGTCGACGGTGACGTCGACGCGGACCGCTGATAACCGCAGCATTCCTTCGCCTCTTCCTTCACCTTGACCTTGTGGAGGATCGTCGTGGTCGCCACTCCACCCTCCACTTTCATGCTCGCGAAGCCCCAACTTCTTGCCTGTTCAACACATTTTTACAATTTTCATTCGTTCCTCTTCCCATTCACCGCGATTATTCGGTTGGTACAGTATGCGGAACCCATATATTAAGGGTACTCGTAAGTAATTTTTTTTAAATAACATTTTTTACATTACGTGTGGACACAGAGCTTGGGCTTCGTTCAGGAGTGTACGATGTCGATTTCGACGAAGTATACAGGGTGGTCCAATAAGAATTGGCACTTGAATACAGTGGACTCTAACAATATTGCCACTAAACATATTGCCACGCGAGGCACTTCGTTCAATATCGACATTTACAGCCTCCACTTTTGACACGAAAATTATTTTTGTAAATACAAAGTACTGAAAGTTTCATAACGATTTATTAAAGATTTTTTTTTTGTAATTAATTCATACAAATCAGGTTAGTTTCAGTGTTCTACGTGTAATTCCCCCTTAACGTTTTCAAATCTACGACCACGTTATATCAATTCCACCGATAATACCCCGATCGCGAATCGACGTCCAAAAAATCGAAAAGCATGTTCCCGCGATCGACATCGAAAAGCTCTGTTGTATGCGCACGTCATCGTCTCTGATCACGGTTCTCATATTTGATCGATTCTACCTACCCGGACTGCCTCGTTTACGTGCTCTCTCGAGCCGACCAGCAATTTCCGTCGCGCATACCAATCGCGCTGATTTCGACGGAACCGTGGCCAGCGGCGATTTTACTAAACAACAAGGAATCCATCGTGATTCGCGACCCGACACGCTCTGAATACGTAAACAACCGGGGGAACGTTTTCGAATAATTTTGATCGGCCACGTCGCGTCCCGAACGAATATCGACGAGCACACACGTCGAGGGGTTACGAATTTACGGGAGATCCGTGGTTCGATCGTGCTATCGTCAACGCAAATTAAACACCTGCATCTGATAGATTACGAATCCATGATAATTAGTGGTCGACAGAATTTTTTGGAAAATTTCGTGTCGACCCTTCGGAACCAATTCTTTTTGATCGAACATTTTTTACGTTCTCGATCCCTGGGGAAAAGCATCGGAAACCAGAAATATCCAGCAAGCAATCGCGACACAGGGGCAATATTACAAGGAAAGAGAATTAAATGGAACGAAAGCGGGAAGTAATCTTCGAGATCCACGTGGCGCCAGAGGCTCCTGCTGGCGGAATTTTATTTTATTGACGCGCACCCGTGGCAGCCAGCAGCGGCAGCAGCCCGCCTTCGGTGCCACATGGTCTCGTTATTAACGTGAAATGCAAACGAGCCCTTCGTTTCGTCCAAGAATACGGCTCCCGGGGACGGGCGAGATCACGCTGTAATTTTTACTGGAAAAATTTCATCGCGAAACGCCCTTCGTATTTTTAACGGGCCGATAAACGAACGCGCGAATACGTTCGGACCGATGCTCAGTGGTACAGAATGCCGATTCAGCAGTTCAGAAGCTTAATTTGCGTGTAAAAATGGGACTTTCAAAACCAAACTTGGTAAGCATGTATTTAATGTTCATATTGATTTTGAAAAAAATAAAATTAATAAGTAATTTTTTTAAGAGAACTTGCGATTGACAATGATAACTCCGTAAAAAAAGTTTTTATATTGTTTATAAAAAAATTATTATTAATTTTGTATGTTTTTAATAAATATGAAAAATTTTGATATTCCCATTTTTACATCCAAATTAAGCTTCCGAACTCCTAAATCGGCGTTCTGTACCACTGTGCGACGTCGCCGTGATAGCTTTAAGAACGATATTTATTATTTTTCTTGGGCACAAAATACCTGACTTCTTTAATAACGTCCGATAAATACACGGATTCGTCGGATTGCCTGGAGCTTTAACGACATGCACTATTTTGTCGAAATTAACGCAATGACAGCCAACCTTTTATTATTATTTATTTATTTAACGGGCAGTAAGATCTTTGGTATACATATACAGGGTGGGAAATTAAATTACGAAATTATAAAATTATAATACGAAGAAAAGAGAAAACGAGAGTAGTTTAAAAGTTTCGATTGAAAAATAAAAGTACTTCGCCATTTGCAATCGATTAAACGCGGAAATTTCCGTTTTTATACCAAGACAATACGTTTTCTTGAACCAGTAGACGTTTGGCAAACAATTCTTTAATCATACTAAACTATTTAAAGGTCCAGATGAGAATATATGTAACTACTCTTTTTTTAAACAGATATGAAAACAAACATTATTACTGAAAAAAATGTTTAATAACAATATATATGTATAATCCTGGCAGCGGATAATCCCCTATTAGTAACAGCGAACGCGTTATATCCTCTCTCCATTTATTCAAACCCGATTTATTTTGCGGGGTCGCAGGTGGTCCCAGAATGTTTTTACAGTTTCTCGAAGTACAGACTTTCGGGATTAACGTGGCATAGGTAGTTTTCTTAAAGTTCTTTACACTATTTTATTATATCAACAAAAACGTAAATATTTCTGCAAAGGGTAAAATTTCATAAACTAACGAATTCTAAATTTCTGAACAATAGTATATTTGAACGAAAATATTGAACTAATTTCTTATAATTTTTTGTGTTACCAATTTATTATTTAATTTTTTATATTATATAAAAACGTTCATCCCAGTGTGCGCCGGTTTCCATCGATCTTGCCGCGCGAAGCAATAATAAAACGGTCACACGACACCGCGGACGGTTTTCGCGGACCGTTCGTAAAACTATCGCGGGAACACCAAGCAGCCGTCCTGGGGCTTTTATTATTACAGATGGCCACAATAATTTTAATTGCCCGTACGTCTCTGTTGTTACAAATGTCTGCAATTCGCGAAAGCCTGGTTGTCGCAAGTGTCACCACCAAGTATGTGTACCCACTGTAATGGGGAATTTAGACTTTACACTTTGGAAGTGCAACGCGAATGATTCATCTGCACGGAAAGGTGTGAAGATTCTTTTCATCTGCATTTCATCTCGAGTGACCAGTAGAACAAAGTAACGTCAGTCTCCACTTTGGATGAATTGAATGGATGGTATATTAGTGAAGAGGCAGTCGCATATACACTCGTGAGCAAAAAGCTTAAATTATAATTATAAATCGATACATTAGATACGGCTTTTAAACTCCATTTGGACCCGTGAACCATACTCCAAGGGTTAATTGAGCTTTAAACTAGTACAAATATCCCAGCTCCATCGTTCACATTCATTGTGGACGAACTATCCACGTTGCACATCCAAAATGTAAAAGTGTAAATTCACCTTAACTCTTTGAAGCATAATGATACATGAAAAATGGCCCACTCTTCTAGTGCCTGAACGTGCATAGTGGAACCTTAATCGTGCCACCTTAAAATCGTGAAATTACTAAAAATAAACAGTAATTAAAATAAAACTATTTTGTCGCAATTAATAGAAAAAAAAAATTCTTTGCGATAAGACACATCACGTTGCATTGTTGCACCAACTCAAGTACAGTAAATCATAGATGAGTGTTCGAAGGCTCTTCGGCACTGATCGTTAAATATTTCATAAACAAACGGCCATACGCGGCTGAAATAAATATCAGTAGCTGCAGAATTCCAAGCTCTATCGCTGTGCTAAACCTCATTAAAAAGTCAACGTTACACCTGGGGACCTCTCTTTGTCAGTGCCGAGAAGTCTCCAAACATTCATCGATGATTTACTGTATATTCCCGTTTTCTACAATTCACAGACTCGTATCGACACGTAATAATCGATCGAATTTCATTCGTGGTCTCTAAAGAACAAGGAAAATTGAACGTATCGCCAATCGATTGTCGAGCAGAAAACATCCCCCTGGGGGTTAGGTAGACTCGCGCGTACCGAGCAATTCGTTAAGACGCTTAGTTAAGCAAACAGAGGCGCGTGAGTCGTTGGAAAACGATCTACGTGCCACGATGGAAAATCCACGGCTGCCTCTCCACCGTCGGTAATTGCGCGCAGCTGTGAAGCGCGCACGGATATAAACGCGAGCTCACGCCCGCGCCTTTTTTCCCCTCGAACGTTGAAGATACACGATCAAACGGGAATTTCTCTGCGTTCCTTTCTCTCGATCGCTCTAGTTAATGGAACATAGACAGACACTTGATCAATAAAGAAAGAAAGAAGATCGGAAAGAAACGCGCTCCACGTACTGTAAATCCTCAATGAGTGCTCGAAAGCTCTTCGACAAGGACAATGAGCGGTCCTCGGGTGTAACGCTGATGTTTTAATGAGGTTTCGCACAGAGCTTGGAATTCTGAAGTCAGTAATATTTGTTTAAACCACATAAGGCCTTTAATTTATAAAATATGTAATGTTCAGTGCCGAGGAGCCTTCCAACACTCATCGAGGATTTACTGTATACCTTTTCCTGGTATGTTCGTTTACTAAAAAGTAGTAGTCGAATACTGAACCCTCATCCGTCCCTTGCGTCGATTTGACACAGAGAAGCCTTCGAGCACTCATCGATGATTTACTGTACACAGGAAAAAAAGTCTCCGCGTAATGGTACGTGTATGGATCGATCGTCGACACGTTTCGAAGGAAACAGCCTCGCCGTCGTCGTTGCCAGACCGAGCTTATGTTTATACATATGTCCTGCACATGGTGTACGGTGCCTGTCGGAGCTAGAGAGAGAGAGAGAAAGGATAGATATAGGAGGTTGGCCGTGGGGGTGGAGACGCAATTTCCAATATTAGAACGGCCAGGCGCGAGAGAGGCAGCAGACCAGGCCAACCGGACCAGATGTCTGCCGTACACACTGACTAGCGGGCGAAACGCGCGGACGTGTACGTTTTAGCTTGCTTTCATTACAAAAATGTCACGCACATACCTCTTTTGTCCGTTTCACCAGCCCCCCCTCCCACCTCCCCCTTCTGCCCTCATATTCATCGTCACATGACGTGAAATCATTGAAGAAAATTAGTGAACGATTGGAAGTTAAATTGATTTCTTTGGAACAGATATATGGTTGTCCCACCTA